ACACCCCCCAAAAAAAAAAAAAAAAAAAAAGAACAGGGTCCCTTCAAGCATCTAGGACTGGATTTTTTCCCCTTTCACTGAATTTATTAATAACTGACAAAAAAGAAAATCCAGACGCAACACTTCCTGGGACGTGAACTGTCTGGCTGGCGGTGCAAATACATAAAGGTGTATCTTGCTGGGGCGCGCATCGTGCTGCAACAGCCAGGCCGCGGTTTGCGCATCATGACAGTCGAGTGAGAAAGGAGGGAAAGTGAAAAGAAATGGAAGGCTGGCAGTCACAGAGGAGGGGAAAATAAGGGGAACCATCGGAGGGAAATGAATGACAGGAAGTAAGATTTCATTCGGGGTGACCTGGGGTTCAGGAGTAAGGCCAGGCACTCGCAGAAGAGTGTGCTTAAACGCGGTGGTATGCATCTTTCTGGGACTAACGTCTGCTTGTTTCTGTCAATGCTTTGGCTTCCTTCTAGAGAGCAGAAATTATCCATCACCTGGCCGACCTGCTGACAGACCAGCGCGATGAGATCCTGTTGGCCAACAAAAAAGACTTGGAGGAGGCAGAAGGTAAAGACCACACACTTTAGAGTCAGTGCTGTGGAGGGGCTTGGGGTTTTTAGGTTGTTGTCTTACTAATAATTCCTATATTTGCCCAAAGACAGGAGGGTTAAAGAGGAACTAGTCTATCATGCATCATTTTTAGCAAGGGCATAGAGTTAGTTAGCCTTTTCCAAACTACGCCGACTTGACCTCTTCTCCAGATCTTTTAGTACAGTCCCCCCGAGGTTTTTCCCATGCCCCACAGGTTACGAGCCAGAGCTGCAGTGGCAGTTCGGGGACACACACACACACACACACACACACACACACACACACACAGACTGACACCTCAGCTCGCAGCAGCTCACAGTCATTGAGGGCTGTCTGTGCTGCCAGGTCTGCTAAGGTTCTACAGACAGGACCGCAGTGCATCTTTCCTGCCAAGGGAGCTACAAATTAAAATCACAAAATGTTAAGAGAAATTTGCTTAAAACTTAAAGCCAAGAAAAACGCTAGGATTCTATTCAAATAGTAGGTAGGTGAACTAATCAACAGCTCAAATCTCTCCTAGTTCCTAGTTTTCTGTCTTTTCCATCTTAAAATAATGATGGTTGGGGGGACAGCTGGTGGCATGGTGGTTAAGGGCACTGGATTCCCACATGTCTGACTGCAGTTCAAGTCCCAGACCTGCAGCCTGCTTTTTCACTCCTCGCCCCCCAACTCTTTTTCTGTCTCTCACTCTCTTATTCTGTCCCTCTCTGGTCAAGTTAAAATTAAAATTAAATTAAATAAACAAAGCTAAAAAATAATAATAATGAAGGTTGGGAGCAGCAGATGGCATAATGGTTTAATCACTAGATTGCCACATAGCCCACCATGGTTTATGTCCTAGACCCACACACACTCACGCCAGGCACATGTGCATGTGTGCCCAAGATCCTGAGAGGAGAATGGAAGAGAAGGGATTGCCATGTGGCCATCCCCAAAGGGGGTGATTTCTTGCTTTCTATCTCCGTCTCCCATGTCTCTGGCAGGTGCATGCACCCTATAACAAAAATTTCTCTCTCAAAAAAAAAATGAAGGTTGATTTTATGAGTTTATCCCTGATCTTTTGAATTTTTGTAGTAGTAGAAAATTTTATTTTTCAGATATGGAAGAAATCTTTGTAAATATCCAGTTCTTTTAAATTAAAGTAAAATTGTTAAGACCCACAGATGCTAAAGCTGTTGCTGAAGGCCACACAGCTCCTCACAGCAGAGCTCTGGCTCTGGTACATCTCTCTGGAAACACAAGGACACACAGCGGGTTAAGAATGAAGTCCTGGCCATACAGAGCATGGTACTCCCCTCTGACTTGGTAATCCCAACCCAGGGAACTTATCCTAGGGAGATAGTTCAAGAGGAGAAAACGGGCAGCTCTGTGGTATATTGGTAGAACACTGCTCAGGAACGCTGGATTTCCCATGGAACTGCAGTTCGAATCCCCAGCCTGGTCAGCCTGAAACATGCTGGGCAAACATTCATGTGCCCGAGAGCCAGCCTGCTGAGAGACCGGGGGGTCATGGCATGGCCAGGCCCTGTGGGAGTGATCCTCTCTATGTTTCCCACTCTCGTATGTACATGCATGAGTTTAATCCTGAGTAAAGAATTTTCTTTTGATAATCCTTAAGAAAGGATTATTTACCAAACTGAAAAAAACAAGAAAGCAATCTGAGTGTCTAATCAGGTATGGTATATTTAGTAATAATTAAAACGTTAATTTTTGTTATATGGAAAACTGTTCACATGAGAAAACTAGAATGTAGCATTTAACAGATACCATAATGAAAACTTGGTTTTTAGCACATGGGAAAAACAAAATGATTTTATGTAACTGGCTTATAGAATAATGGTTTAATATTTTTTCTCTTTCTTTCTTTCTTTTTTTATTTTTATTTGTTTTAAATGATCAGAGGTCACATGCATTGCCAGGGAGAGACAGCAGGGAGGAAGAAAGCACCCCCCGTGGGGCGTGGCCCTACCGCAGTCTCTCCTCCACTTCATGCTATCAGGATTTGGGTGCACACGCACATGTGCCTGGTGTGTTTTCCAAGCTGCCAGAACCAGGATTTGAGTCAGCCGTGTGTGACCCAGCTCCCTTAACCATCAGACCACAAGACTAGCCCCGAATTTTTTTTTTTTTTTGAGAGATTTTCACTGTAGGGCGCGTACGCTCGCCAGACAGACAGAGAGAGACATAGAGACAGAAAGCGAGAAATCACCCCCCAGGGGGGATGGTCACGCCGCAATCCCTTCTCCTCCATTCTCCTCTTGGGATCTCGGGCACGCACGCACACGCGCCTGGCGTGAGTTTTAAGCCACCGGGTCCGGGACACGAACCGCGGTCAACTACATGGGAGTCCAGCGACATAGCCATTACGCTAACTGCTGGTTCCCCCGAATTTTTCTTTTTTAAAAATTTGCTAGAAGGCGCCTGTGCGTGCTGTAGGGATGGGAGTGAGAAAGTACCCCCTCCACGGGCAGGGTCACGCCCTCCTTTCTCCCCCACTCCTCTCCCAGGTCCAGAACTAGAACTGCACAGTCAGCCATGTGGGATCCAGCTGCCTTAACCACCACACTGCCAGCCAGCCCCTAAATTTCTTCTTAATGTAGAAATATTTTTATTATTTTATTTGGGTAGGTATGACTATAAAAAAAGAAAAGGAATATTTTTATAATCTCATATCAACATAACCATGGTAACGGTTTATAACATTGATAACAAATTATTTTCTTGAATGTACATATATGTGTACATATGTATATCCTGAATATACATATGTGTATATATGTATATGTATGCTTATGTTTATGTTTACATATGTATATTTGTCAGAAAAGTAATGATGCATTTTTGCATAGAAAAACATGACAAAATACATCCTGACTTTTCCGGCAACCATATATATATATAGAGAGAGAGAGAGAGAGAGAGAATGAATGACATCATGCACACTATTAGACTCACGTATTTTTTAATTTGCCAGTGAGCACATGCACTTGCCAGAAACAGAGACACAGATGGAGGGAAGGGGGAAATCACTTCCCCTCCCGCACGCTCCCGCAGTGGGGCATGGCCACCCTGTAGTCCCGGCTCCATTTCTCCATCCTGTCAGGATTGGGGACACATATGCACTTACACCGCATGTGTTTTTCAAGTCCCTGGGGTCTGGATTTGAACCATCTTGGCTTTGTGGAATCTTGCTCCTCTAACCACTAAGCTACAGGACCAGCCCACTATTGTATTTAAATTTTCTTTAAATTTTTTTAAAATTTAATTTTATTCATTGTCATTATTTTATTTTATTCTGTTTTCTGAAGTTGACCAGAGAAAGAGAGGAGAGTGACAAAGCAAGTTGCCAGGTCTGAGACTCAAACTACGGTCAGCCATGTGGGAGTCCAGCGCCCTTAACCACCACACCACCTGCCAGCCCCTGTATTTAAATTTGAAGATAATTCTATATGTGAACTTACTGTAGCTGTATTTAACTTTTCATTTCTGAAGAAAGAATCTTTATTGCATCTGGTTATAAAAACGACTCACTCATGGGAACCAGCAGTTAGCATAATGGCTATGTCGCTGGATTCCCACGTAGTCGACCGCGGTTCGTGTCCCGGACCCGGTGGCTTAAAACTCACGCCGGGCGCGTGTGCGTGCGTGCCCAAGATCCCGAGAGGAGAATGGAGGAGAAGGGATTGCGGCGTGACCATCCCCCCTGGGGGGTGATTTCTCGCTTTCTGTCTCTATGTCTCTCTCTGTCTGTCTGGCGAGCGCACGCGCCCTACAGTGAAAATCTCTCCAAAAAAAA